GAAAATATCATGTTTTTAATTTTCCCATTTATAATACATACATAAAAATGTAACAAACATGTACTTATAAAATATGTCATTTATCATTAAACACCCTAATGCATTATTATGTCAATATATTTAAGGAATAGATTATATATATATATATATATATATATATATATATATATATATATATATATATATATAAATATAGATAGATAGATAGATAAACAAGTTGAAGTATGTATTTAGAAATACAAACTACATTTCACAATTAAGATGTATTACCTACAAGATCATTCAGATTTTGTTTCCTTTTCAATTTATTAATAAATTAAAGCAAATTGAATTGACAAAGTAACAATTATAAACTTTAACTTATCAAACACTAGGGTATAAATACCAGTGATTGACAGGTTACCAGTACCTGACACCCTCAAAAATAATTTTGTCTAATCGTCTTCTAGAACATCATGTTTCATTTCAATATATTAGTTAAAAACCACAAGTCTCTGGAGGAACTTATCTCATATATTAAGATACTCCAGCCTGTTCAGAGAGACTATTAGACACAGTTAGTTCTGAGGATGTCAAATAATATAACTTGTCTACTACTGGACTTGTATTGTTACTCTGTATAAAAATACAAAGATGGGATTATTAGTTCTGAAAAATCTTTACGAAGCCATAAAATGATCACTTTATAAGTAGAGTACTATTTTAACCACTTTCAGTCATCAGAAATGTTAAATAAAGCATGCGCTAGAAACATTTTACTATTATTGACATTTATAAATAATAAAAAAAAAAAAAAAAAGGTAAAATTAAGAATGCATTATAGGTATACTTAATAAATACTACAACATCAAATATCTTAACATAAATGCAATCTAGTGATATAATATTATGATACACATTTATTAAGCATTTATGAGACACACAAGCCAAAATTCTCAAGAGTTATACAATTAAATACATTTCATTGGCTGAATATAAAATTTGTTGAATTTGAGTGGTTAAATTAGAAATATTTAATATCCAGATACAATTATTACGTTAAAAACAAAATCTTCAAATTAGACAGTATAAAAATGTAAGTTTAGATTGTGCATACACAACTATACATCGATATCCACACATATACATGCATAAAAATTTAGATTACATAAAAGTTTTAATTTCTTTTGTAACTCTCTTTGACCCTGATAGAAATACTTTACCTTAACCTTTATATAATATAATCATTTAAATAATTAGTAGTTATAACTATGTATGAAACATGTCTTAATTTCTAAATATGCAATAACAGCAATATTATGGATATAAACAAACAACAACAAAGACTAGACCATACTTAATTTTAAAACATTCAGTACTACACACAAATAGAATATTTTAAGATTATAATCACAATTACAAACTAAAAATAGTCAAATAAATTAATTAAATTTCAGTGCAGTTATGACTTCTATAGTAAAATCTTATATAATATACTACAGCAAATATAATGCCTTTTATAGATTGTCATCATCCTAATGAGGTCATTTTATGGAAGCTCAATTATCTTGACAGGTATAGCATATTATCAGTATTTAAAAAAAATAGATTAAATCATTCTAATAATATAAGATATTTCTTTAAAATAACAAAAAAGATATGATCATATCTTCTAAATACATCTTCCATATTTTAAAACATACATACAAAATATCAACATAAAATTTACTTTTCAGTACTTCTACAACTATTTTAAAGCTACTAAATTAGATTTATTTAAAAAATGACCCTTTTTAATAAATAATATATATATATATATATATATATATTATTATTTTTTAAACACTTGCTGATAAATGTTGTTTGTAAAATTTAATAGGGAACTTACAGAGACTATGATATGTTCTAAAGATAAAAACTAAAATGACTGAATCACTCAAAGATTTATGTATATAAAAAGATATGTAATTTCAATTAACAAAACTTAGATCCACATTTTCTTGAATGCTAATTTAATGATATAAGTTAAAAATCAATTGGATAATTTTGATATCTACAGTTTTTATTAGGTTGTGTTCATAAGTTAAAATTTGTATTTTTGATTAAATTTTTTAAACCAACTTTATTTTTTAACATAGTTATAAAAGGAACTCGTTTATTACATGCCTGTGAAAAGTGGATTAATTGCAATTTTGAGGATCTCGAGTTATATGATTCAAACTTAATTTTTTTCTCTTTCTTTATGTCTAATGGGCCAAGTGACAAGGTTACAACAAAGAGGGAATACCCTTAGTTGTCGCATCCATATCACTTGGCCTATCAGACACAAAAAAGAGAAAAAAATAAATATATTTGAAACACAAAATTCATAAGTCACATAATAGTACCTAACCCACTAGTCATAGGTGCCACAGATATTAATTCTTCAAATAAAAATTAAATGTTTTTAATATAAAATAAAAACTAACTAACAGAAAAAGGAATAACATAACGTAGATAATATAGTCAGAAAAAAATATTTTAAAAAATCATCAGAATTAATTATAAATAATTATAGATGAAGAGAAGAATGGTTAGGGTGATAAATGTAAAAAAAATAGTAAAAATGAACAATTATATTTTATTTTTACATATTTATATTAATAAAATAAATAAATATAATTATTTATTTTTACATTATTTTTTTTTACCTATCACCCCAACCATTCTTTTCTTCAATTATTCACTAAAGTCAACCATCAATCCACAATTACAAATAATTATAAAACAGTAATAAAAAAACAAAAATTCATTTTCAACAGAATACAAGAATTTAAATGCGATAAAGGCCACAAGGAAGTATAATTATTTTTTTGCCTTGATTAAAGACCAATGATCATTATCTATAAGATTAGAAATTAAAATTTATACATTATCATAAACATTTTTGACACCGAATAATGTGACAACTAAAAATAAATTTCCTCATAACAAAAAAGAGTTTTGGACAATAATATATAACATTTTTTAATGTTGGTTTCCTTACACAAGTTTATTATTCAGGAGACGATGTGCAAAAAACAGAGTTTATATCAATGTCAAGCTAAAATGTTTTGGAGGGATTCATTATACCAAGGTCAGCAAGAACAAGCTACAGCTGAAATATGTATACCCATACTTAGTAATAAAGCATAGTGTCACCTTTAGAATATTGGGCAGCTGTTGATCTGATAATTTTTTTCAACATTATTTTTCCTAAAAGAACTTCAATTTACTTTCATGATGTTATTTTCAGAATATCAAAAATCAACCTTATATTAATTATACTGTCATTAATATCAAAGAACACAATTTAAAAAATGCAATCCATTGAACAAGCCCCCTATCAAAAAATTTTTGTCTAACAATGATTGGTTTATGCTTTCATAATATATCTAATAAGTTTAAAAAGGATAAATAGATAAGTGTTAATAGGTCATGTTTATTATTAAAATTGTAGTTTAAAAAATTGATGAAGTATATACTACAACTATGGTCTTTTCTTGTAAAACTTGGTATTATACAGCAGTCAAAAATCTTTAGCTTAAAATTAATCAGTCATTTTTAAGCACACTGGCACCGGACTATTAGACAAGCTTTTCTTTTGTAGCAAAAGAGTAAATTAATAATAAAAAATAATGAGGCCCAGGTTTTTTATGTACTAAATTGCCACCAGAGTTAATAAATTGTGCAATCAGATGTTTAATATGAATGATTAATATGTTATGTAGTGTAGCAGCCTCAAGCACTAATTGATAAATAACATTTTTCTCCTATAACTTAAAAAAAATCAATAGAAATCAAAAGCATAACCATGATAAAATTAAAAAAATATATTGTCTACATTGAACCATATTTCTTGGTTTCCTCCAAGAACTCCGATAACTCCAGAAAAATAAAAGATCAATGATTCAAAATTTTGCATAGCAAAATTAATCTTTAGAAACCAATTAAGCTATTTATCAATAATGACATAACCATAAAAAAAACATTTTCTTAATAATGGTGGATAATACATGACTTAAAAAAAAAAAGTGAATAGAATGCTTCTAAATTAAAACCTAATAAGATAAATAAAATTTTTATAACATTTAAGCTCAGTATTATTTCAATTTGTTGTAAAATAAACCCAATTTATTTATCGAGTCAGATGATAAACCATTTTATGGATATGAGGCATCTCTAAGTGATGAAGATACTTCTGTGCTCAGAAGATGAAAGCGAATAAGACCCCTAAAACTTGGCTAGATCATGAGCTCTACTTGGCTTAATCCAATGAAAATAATCTAGACACCACAGAAGTCTTAAGAGGACCAGAAAAGACAAAATGAGAAGAAGCAAAGAATAAAGAAATTAATTCTCGGATTAAAAATACAAAAGTTGTGAAGTTGTAGATCCACCATTCCATACAAAAATATTAAAATAAAAATGGATTTTTAAAATTAAGGAAACACCCAAGGGTGATAAAATACATAAGGCTCGCCTAGTCATAAAAGGTTGCTCTAACCTAGAAACATTTTCTCATGTAGTAAAACATACATCTATTAGATACCTTCTCTCATTACCAGCAAAGAAGGACCTTCAAATAGATCATATGGATGTGGTTACTTCATATCTCTATGGGGGATTGGAGGAAGAACTATATGCCTCACCTCACTCTAAGTCTTTGACAGAAACAGATAAACCAAAGGTTTGGAATCGAAAGAAGGCAATCTATGGATGTGCAAAGTGGGCGAGGAACAAGAAGATATAAAGGTTCTATGTGATCTAGGTCTTACTCAATCAAAAGCTAATCCCTGTATTTATTATTCAAAAGGGAGCTCAAAAATCCTAATAATAGCTCTTTATGTTGATGTCTTACTCATATCTTCAAATGAAGAAGAGTTCAAAACTAAAATAAAACAAGAACTTTTTAGAAATAAAAGACGTAGGAAAAGCTAAACAATGCTTCAATGGAAATTTCAAGAAATGAACAATCTGGCAAAATGTGGATTTCACAGAAAATGCATGCCCTCAAATTACTCGAAAGATTCAATGTGTATGAGGCTAAACCTGCTCCAACACCTGTTGAACCTGGCATGGATTTCACTCAAGATAACCAAAAGGCTGAAGACGAAGAGCAGTTGAATAAAATTCCCTATCAAGAGGCGGTTGGCAGTCTGCTTTATTTTTATCAGGTTTCCTCCCCAGATATCACTTATACTGTAAATCTTTTAAGTAGAGTTAATAATAATTATAAAGACATCCATTGGCGGGCATGAAAACAATTGTTGAGATATATTAAAGGTACCGTTGATTAGAAATTAGAATTTAGTAAACAGAGTTCACAAGACCTTACTGGATTTTATGATGCTGATTGGGCTAGTAAAAATAATGGAAGATTTTCTGTAACAAGGTGCCGCTTTTTAATTCAAGGATCTGCTATAAAAAATGTGCTGTTGCTAAAAAAAAAAAATCTGTTGCTTTATCAACTTGTGAAGCAGAATATATGAGCTTGTCTTTATCTACACAAGAAGCAATCTAGTAAAAAATTTTGATTTTTGAAATTGATCCCAATGCATTAAAGAATGCTATAACAATTCACTGTGACAACACGAGTGCCATAAAGCTAACAAAAAATAACATTAAACATCATTTTGTTAGATAACATGTTTCTAATAATAAAATTGCTGTGAGCTATGCACCCAGTGATGAAATGATAGCAGGCTTTCTCAAAAAGCCATTAAATAAACTACAACATGATAATTGGATAAAATTAATCTGACTAGTAAATTTAAAGGAATTTTTGATTGTGATAAATTGGATTTAAGGGAGAATGTTGGAAAATAAATCCAATTTATTTATTTCATATTTAAAGTGTCATCGGCACAATGTTGGAGTTGTATGTGTAATGTTGGACAGGTTAAGAGCTGTCGCTTTAGCATGGTGACAACGATACATTCGATGATTATTATGTTTTGTAAAGTGTTCATAAATAAAAAGTTTTCAGATATTACTCTGGTTCCTCATTATACTTATACCCCTAACACAATTTAACAAGATAAATTATAGATATAAATATATTTACTACTAATTTACACGTAATATAGAACAAAATATAAAATAATTGGCCTGAAGAAAGATCTTGAATAGAGAAATTTGCAATAAAACATAGATTAACCGAATTCCACCACTTAAATATAAGTAGTGTTCTGGAGCAGTATTGATTAAAATGGATTTTTAAAGCTAGTGGGCTGAGTCAACAATGAACCAATGACTGATTCTTTCAGGGGTAAACAAAGATGTAAATGGAAAGAAAATGTTTCAACTTAGATCTTGAAGAGTTTCAGTGAAGATATATATTTATGTAATGCTCTTTCTGAGTCGGATGTATAAGGAAGCAGAATCAAACCTTTGTGTCTACTAAACCTTATTATAACTAGTTTATTCAGGTAATATCAGCAAATAATAGAAAAACAATGTCTTAAAATTTAGTATAGAAAAATTAATGAGGATCAGCAAAAGTAAAATAAAATTAATGAACTAAACATGTAAAACATAAATACAGTTTCTTAATCATAGTGGATTATACAGGAATATATATATATATATATATATATATATATATATATATATATATATATATATATATATAAAGCACTACACTTACATTTACAGAGGAAAAGTCACAAGTCCTATGTTATATTGCCACATAATTTCTCCATTCAACATCTTTCTTCCTGCCAATTATATTTTTTTTATGTATTTCTTGTAAATTAACACCAGAAAAATATCTTTGTATTTATAATATATCTTGTTGAATTGAGATAACTATTAAAATCAGCTTGAATGTTAACAAAATTCTGAGACTTACTACTTATACGGATCAGTTTTTTTTTTTGTAAAGACATGCATAATCCACCATTGTATATTTATAAAGAAATGATATTATACTAACTATTACTTTTTTTTATACCTTCTGCGTCAAATGACAATATAAAAAACTAGTTTATTGTCATTAGTTAAAATAATTTAGGTGAAGTAATCTCAAAAATACTCTTTTTTGAGTAAAATGACCTACGGAATTATACACTGAAAAATACATGGTAATTTTAGAATATTTTTAAAAAATCTTAACACCATATTAATTTAATACCTCTACTAAGCCTAAAAATACTCGATAGCTACGGTAAATAACTTATTAATGTCTATTAGCATTCCATATTCATGATTCACTGTGTAGGAAAAATATTTCAGTCTTACTGTGATAATAAGTTCAATTAGTCTTATTGCAATACTGCATTCATTGAAAGTATAACAAAAAAATTAAATATATCAACATATCTCTAATGATCTTAAATACTCAAAACAATCAAGTTTTATGTAAATTATGTAGTATTTTTGTTTGTTTATTTCAGTTTTCAGATTCTTTCAGTATGTACCAAACAAGTTCTAGATGAACTCAGAGGAAGTTGGAGGCCCAGATAGATTTAAATAATATTGAAACCACAAGACCAACAAGTGACATAAAAAAAATGATTAAAATTAATTATATGAAAGAATAACTTATATTTTATCTAGCACAGCATAGATAATAAAGGAAAAGGGATGATATAAAAATTTTAATCTTGAATTCAAAAAGTAAAATAGAAAATTAATGAATTAAATCATTTTTTAAATAAAGGATGAATGATAGAAGGTATTGCAATATAAATGGAAGTCAAATATAATGCATGTTATGACTTATTTTATTGAAGTTGATTAAGTTCAATTAAAAAACTAAAACAATGTCAAGCCAAATCTATTTATTATTTTTGCAAATGAACTTTGAATCATAAGAGATTCAAGAATACTTCCATGATAAGCCCAAATCAATTTCTACCAATTAAGTAGTTCTGTAGTTGATTTGATATAGCATATGAATTAGCTGTTTAAAAAGAAGTTAACAAATAAATATAAGATAAACTCCCCACCAATGAAGTTGTGAATTATGTTTTGGTGTGGTTTCAAGTAAGTGTATCTGAAATGAAACAACAGAATCAATCATTTTTTTTTTAGCTAATGTCCAATCCACATTTTATTAATAAATGATATCTCTACTATTTACATATAATACAAAGTTTCCTAGATGAAGTCTAATGTCAAGGAAAGATAGTTAAATGTATGCAATTAACTGTTTTATAAGCATTAAGTTAAGGAAAACCTTATACTTAAAACAGACCTCATCTTAACCTTTAATAATGATAATAGACTTTTATTTTCAAACAGTTTCCATTCCTTTAATTTCTCATCATTATAAATTAATGTTAACGTTCATCAGTCATTTATTGGGGTAACTGCACATAGTGCACATTAAACCTATGGGGGTATATTAAAATCCTTTATAAGTATATTTTAATCTAAAATAAGACTAAAAACTAATATTAAAATTTTTAGCAATAACAATTACATAAAAAAAATATACTCTAATATTTAATGAAGGTTTTTCAAACTAATTATAGCCACCTAATAACTATGTACCATTATAACTACAGTAAATTTTATAAAAAAGTATTTTAGAATTTATTAACATATAATCATAACAATGACACCAATAGTATATAAATAAAATATATTACGAAACATGTATTTAAGTCTATTTCACAATTATAAGATAGGCACAAAGCAGAAGTAACGAATTACAATACATTCCAGAACTATAAGATTAATCACATTATCATTAAAAAGTTTAATAATGACAAAAAGATCAATGTAACTAACCCAGCATTGTTTAAGGGAAGAAACATACCAAAATAATTCATTCACAAGTAATTTTAACAGTGCTTATAATGAAATCTTCATTATTAAAAATAATCCTTTACTTGTAATACAAAGTCATATCATTCAAAGATCATTTTTGAAAGTCTTAACCAATAACAATGAAATACAATATTGAAAAATTGATGCAATTAAAAGGAAAAAAATATTTGACACTGTAATAGCTGACAGTTATACAACAGAAATATTTTAAAATATAACTTAAATAAATAAATAAATGTATAATACATGAGAATAAATACTTTTCAAATAAACATACAATAACAAGCATTATGGGTAAAATATAGTTCACCCAGAAATGTAAATAAACAATTGAAGCACTCTTTAGCTTTAACTAATCCCTGAGATTATTTAGTTGCATTGTATAAATATATGAAATTAATATTTTAATGCTTGTCCTGATATTTGCATTATTTAATACAACAGAAACAAACAAATAATATAAATACATCTAACTCATAAAATTATAGTAAACCAGGATAATAAAAAAAAAGTATATTGGTGAAAAAATGGGTTAGTAATTTCTAACATCACAAGGCCGATAAAAGAATTTCATTAAAATAATAAATAGAATTAAATATAAATTAAACAATTTTTGGTATTTAAAAATAAGTAAATTATTATACAATAAAAATTATCAATTATCATATTATATAATATAAAGTAAGTTTTTATTAGAATGTGATTTAAAAATTAAGGAACTACCCAGATGATATAAAAATGTTTTTACTGGGTAAAATAAAAAAAAAAAAATACAGTAATGAGAACCCCACTGCTTTAAAGAATTAGATAGTTCATTCTGCTTCAATATTGGGAGCCAGATTTTTTTCCCAAACCTACTCAATGAAAAATGCATCTGTTACTGGTGTTAGCTAGTAACACTTTCATGACTGACTAATCTCCTCATCAAACACCGTTTTCTGGCACATATATATATATAATTTATTTATTTATCGCGATACAGGTCAACGATGGACCACACGTATATCACTTCTAGGTCTTTTTCTTTTTCCTTTCTGCCCATTTTCTTTTAATTTTTTCTCCCATCTCCCTCCTTATCTCCTCTATCCATTTCTTACTCTCTTACTTCCTCTTATCCACTATAAGAATCTTCATATTCTTCACTATTTTCCCTAATTAATTCCTATCTTGGAAGTCCTCCTCTTTGATACCTATTTTTTTCACTTCTTCTCTTATTTGTTCTGGATAACTTTTCACGTTCTTCAGTCCCATTACTCTATTGAATATCTGTTTGTTCAGCCTATTCAGATCCATTCTCTTCATATGACTGAAGAACTTTAATCTCCTTTTTCTCATCGATGATTCCAATTTCCAGTCCTCAATCTGTTCATAAAGCTCATTTTTCTTTTTTAATATGTATTCTTCTCCCACCTTTCTGGGCCCGTATATTATTCTCTGAATCTTTATTTCTGTTTTCAGTAGTGATTCCATATTAGTAAATCTCATAGTCTCCGCCCCATAGTGTATCACCGATTTTATGAATGTTTCAAAATGTCTAATTTTAGCTTTCCAGGAAACATCCTTTTTATTATATAAACTCCTGACTAAGAACCTTAATTTATCCAATTTTACTTCCCTACTCCATGTTGCTTGAATGTCTCTCTCATTGTAGTTAAAGAGTTCCCTAAGGTATTTAAACTGTTTCACCAACCTGATTTTTCTGTATTTAGTATAGAATTTTTCCTTTTTTCCTTTTTCACTTGCCATAATTTAGTTTTTTTTCAAATGACCTAGCTCTTTTTGCTATTTCCTTCAGTTCATTTATCTGATTAACTGGCTCTCGTTCCCTTTCTGCCATAAGTGCTATGTCATCCGCGAAAGCCATGTAGCTGATTTTTACTCCTTCTATTCCCCCCCCCCCCCCAATCCTTACACCAGATTTATTGGAATCCCAAAATGTTCTCATAAGGCCAAAACTAAATTGAATAAAGTAGGTGATAATCCATCACCTTGTCTTAACTCTGTTTTATTTTCGAATGGTTTACTGATTTCCTCTTTAAATTTAATTTTAGAATATGTGTCAGTTATAGTTAGTTTAATCAGATTTATAGTGTTTTGATCTATTCCGTATTCCCTCAGTACCCGAACAAGTGTTTCTCTATCTACCGAATCATAGGCTTTCTGGAAATCCACACAGGAGACATAAATTTTGTTTGATCTAATCATGTAGTATCTCAAAATTAATTTTAGACTCAGGATTTGTTCCTCCAGACACAGGTATTTATCAAACAAGTTCTAGATCTCCCTTTTCCAAATCCTCATTTGTACTCTTCTAACTGAGGATCGATTTGCGGTTCTAATCTATTTAACAGAGCTCTCCACAGAATCTTTAAAGTCACAGGAAGTAACAAAATTTCTCTATAATTATTTGTATCTGTCTTCACTCTTTTATGTAGCAGTTGTATAAGTGCCATTGTCCATTCCTCTGGTATTTCTTCCATGTCCCAGATTTCCTCCATCAATTTTGTAATTTTAATAATATATCCTTCTTCCACATATTTCCACATTTCAGCTATTATTCCGCCTTCTCTAGCAGCTTTGTTATCTTTTAATGAGTATAAGATCTCTTTAATTTGCTCAATTGTCGGTGGTGAACTATTCAGGTTTTGTAGACTGTCTGTATTCGTTTCTAGTTTAGTAGGAAGTTTTTCACAGTTCAGTAAGTTCTTAATATATTCAGCAAGTTTCTCACAATTTTCCCTGTAATTTTGTGCTATTTTTGCATCTTTTCTCTGAAAATTTAGGTTAGGAGCTGTGTACCCTTTAATATTGTTTTTGAATGCACTATAGAATAATCCTGTGTTCTGTTACCTGAAATTTTCCTCCATTTCCTCAATCTGTCTTCTAAGATACTTTCTTTTCGCCCTCCTTATGGTATTATGGGCTTTCTTTTTTTCTTTTTGGAGCGCTTTCAGGTTCTTTTCTGTTTTACATGAGTTCCAAATTTCCTATTTTTCAGCCTCTCCCGAATCGCTTCTTCGCATTCTTGGTTCCACCACATATATATAGATAGATAGGGGCTGGTGTAGCCGTGCAGGCTAAGGCGCTTGCAATAGGTAACCAAGTTAAGCAACGCCAAGCATGGCTAGCACTTGGATGGGTGATCGCCCGATTTGGATGGCTGTCCGCCAGGGAAAGCCATGCTGCCTGAGATCCTCCCGCGGGTATGTGAGGTCCATCAGCCTACTGGAGGCAACTCACACCGACCGGGCGTAGGACTGATGGCCCTGCCCCCGTGTACTTAAATGAGGAATCGGGATGTGGTCCAGGAGACCACATCTAGCAGTCAAAGATCTGCATGGTCTGTAGCGCCAACCGAAAAAAAAAATATATATATAGTAAACATATCCATAGAAGACACCTATGGGGAATTAAACTTTGTCTATTACGTCCATTATAGAGAAAATAAAATGAAAAAAAAAATTACAAGGAAATAAAAATTAGCAGATTAAAATTGTATTTGAATCACTTTAATGGTATTTTTTATTTATTTAAATAGTATTTGTGTTTTTAAATTTAAAATTTAAATATGCTTTTTTATTAGAAATAATATAATTTTTATAATGTGTACACAAATGAGCAATGATAAAAGACGGGTTGCTACGCTACCAAACTTTGACGTCTTTATTTATAATTTTATTTTCAAACTG